CATACATACATACATACATACATACATACATACATACATACATACATACACATACACATATACAGAGAGAGAGAGAGAGTTATTTATTTATTTATCAGCACCTTTATTTATTTATCAGCACAAATACACACACACACACACACACATATATATATATGTGTGTGTGTGTATTATTTCTGCTGATAAATAATGTAACAAAGGCAACAGTAAAATATTGGGCTTTCTGTCTGGATGGTCTCTTGTGACGAGCCGATGGACAGAGAATGGAAGCAGTTAGCTTCCTCCCATAATTGGGGCATACCAGGAGTTGTGACTTTAAATATATATATATCCAAGACAAAGAGATAATGAAGAAGATATTAGACTGTACAGAAATGGGCAGACTTATATTGAAAATCAAACAAAAAGAAGACATAGGATATCAAACTTGGAATTTCTTTTACCAGTGGTTGGAAAAAGGGGAGGGAGAGTAAGGATGGCATTTGCAATGTTAAGCAAATTAAATACCCAGACAACCCAATGTCTATTAAGCACTAAAGAATGTAAATAATACATTATGTATAATGTTATTATAATGATGTATGATTAATGTAACCAAGATTACTAAAATTGTCAATATTATTACTATTATTTGGTATAAAAACTAACAATACCTAGATGCCACACTGTTCATGCATTCAACGTACATCTAAAAAATATTTGTACATATGATAAAAAGGAATGTAATTAATAGAAAATTAATATTTTTTTAAAAAGGTCACAAGTCAAGGACTGCTTGCCTACCACCAGTGAAACCAAGATCAACCCACTCAGATGGACGTACCGCAGTGGTGATCCGGGCGCTGCCTTTTGGCAACAGGGCTTCCGCTGTGGCGGCCACTTCGGCTATATCTCGCCCGCGGTTCTTGCTGGCCATCATTCTCTCGGCCCCCTTGTACTGCTCGATGCTGAGCAGAGATTCAATCGAGATGACCTCCTTTTGAAAGAGTTCCCTTTCGGCCGGGTGATCTTCCATTTCTAAATAAAGAATAAATGTTTCTTTAAAAAAAAACACCTCTGTTTTTATTGTTTAATGAGTGCTATGCTAGATATTTTCCATTCATTCATTCATAAGTGATCTTCCATTTCTAAATAAATAGGTCTTTTAAAAAAACCTATTTTATTGTTTTAATGAGTGCTATGCTAGATATTTCCATTCATTCTTTCATTTATATTTTCATTCATATTTTCAATCATAGGTGATTTTCCATTTCTAGAAAAAGAATAAATACTTTAAAAAAAAAACCTCTGCTTTGTTTTAATGTGCTATGCTAGATATTTTCATTCATTCTTTCTTTCATTCATTCTTCCTTCATCCAACTGGTATGCCACCCATCTCGCTGAAAGCCAGACATTGAATAAAACATTAGAACAATAAATATTTAAAGAGTCAATTTAAATAAATCTAAGCAGGATGGAGAGGGAGGGAGCAGAGCATATATAGAGAGAAAAAGTGGGGTGTTCCCTAGCCCATTAGCCACTTCCAACGTGCCACACCTCCATTAGGGCCTCATGCTAGTTGGCCTAGCCATGTCTTCAAAAGCCTTTCGGAAAATGAAAGGATGGGAGCAGTTCTGGCCACGGGGGTGGGGAGAGATAATCCCTCCTGAATATCTCAAAATGCCCCCGGAATTCCTGAAAATTCCATGTACAGCCAAGTATTACATTAATGGAGCTGTGATGGAAAGGTGAAAAAATCCACCTCTCTACATCTAAGCTAGTCCCTTGTAGGAAAGCATTTGGAAAGGAAATTCTGCCAGGATGTACCTTCTTCGCTTGTCTCCTCTTCTGGCTTCGGCTGCGGCCAGTGAAAGTTCTCAGCGAAGGCTCCTTCGTACATCTTCATCAGATCATCCAAAGGCAGCTCAGCTATTGGGGGGGGGGGAACAGAATTAACAGATTAACAGAGTTGGAACGGATCTTGTAGGTCATCTAATCCAGCACACACACGAACACACCCCGCATAAGCAGGAGACCCTATATTATTTCTGACAGATGGCTGTCCAGTCTCTTCTTGAAAGTCTCAAGTGATGAAGCTCCCACAACTCCTGAAGGCAATTTCTGTTGCATGGGTTGATTACTCTCACTGTCAGGAAATTTCTCCTTATTTCCAGGTTGAATCTCTCCTTGGTCAGTTTCCATTCATTATTCCTTGTCTGGCCTTCAGGTACTTTGGAGAATAGCTTGACCCCCTCCTCTCGGTGGCAGCCCCTGAAATATTGTAAGACTGCTATCATGTCTTCCCTGGTCCTTCTCTTCACTAGATTGGCCATGCCCAGTTCCTGCAACCATTCATTGTATGCTTTAGCCTTCAGGCCTTTGATCATCTTAGATAGATTCATATTAACAGAGTTGGAAGGGTCCTTGACTTACAATTATTTGCTTAGTGACTGTTTAAAGTTGCAACGGCCTTGAAAATAAATGACTTTTATGACTGGTCCTTGGCTAATGAGGCCCTGACTTCATGGACATCACACACAGATACAGATTAACAGATTTGTTAGGGACCTTGAAAGTCATCTAGTCAAACCCCCCGCCCAAGCAGGAGACCCTACATCATTTCTGACAGATGGCTGTCCAGTCTCTTCTTGAAAGCCTCCAGTGATGAAGCCCCCACAACTTCCGAAGGGAACTTCTGTTCCATTGATTGATTGTTCTCACTGTCAGAAAATTTCTTCTTAGGTTGAATCTCTCCTTGTTCAGTTTCCATCCATTATTCCTTGTCTGGCCTTCGGGTGCTTTGGAGAATAGCTTGACCCCCTCCTCTCTCTCGCAGCCCCTCAAATATTGGAAGACTGCTCTCCTGTCTCCCCTTGTCCTTCTCTTCACTAGCCTAGCCAGGCCCGGTTCCTTTGGAATCGTCAACGCACTCACCTTCCTTCGCCAGCGTGGACAGCTCCATCTGATGGTTGACATTCCCTTCCTTCTTTTCCTGCTCTTCTATTGTCTCCTCTTCATCTTCCGCTGAAAAGAAAATGTAAGGCCCAAATGTAAGCCAAAGAGAGGAAGGAATAGTCATATACACGCAAGAATAATTGAGAAGGCTTCGTCACAGAATTCTGGTGTGTGTGTGTGTGTGTGTGTGTGTGTGTGAGAGAGAGAGAGAGAGAGAGAGAGATGGAGATGGAGACGGCAGTAGTTTCACTCTGGAACTAAAACAGAATCCCAAATTGGAGCTGTGCTGTTTTCTTTCAGTCCGAAAGGTGCTTTTTTTCAGGAGGCAACTGGACTTTCATTTTTAATTTTGAAGACATTTCGCTTCTCATCCAAGAGATATTCATAATATTCAGTTTCCTCTTTCTCCTTAATTGCTAATGTTAACCTGTTCATTTCTGCACATTCTAATACATTCCTTATCATCTTCTCATCAATAGGAATCTCTACACTTTCCCAATGTCATGCAAATACAATTCTAGC